TACTACTACGATTTTATAGTACTGTTTTTTTTTAAATTTTAATCGGATCGAATTATATGTTGGAATTTCTGATACCATATTAAAATTTGAAATTTCATCTTAAAATGTTGACTATTAAGCGCTTGTGTTGACAATTTTTATTTGTGGAAAATAGAGTTTTGAATAATGAATTTCAGGAGAATGTGTGGTTAAAAAGTAAAAATTTTGAGTTTACGCGCAAAATATTTTGCCCATGTTTGATAACCATTATTTGAGAAAAATTGAATTTTGAATAGTGATTGTTAGGAAAATGTGAAATTAAAAAGTAGGAAAAAACTTTAGGTTAACATGCATAATATTTTATTGTGTGAATGTGATGATGGAAATGAGTATGTAGAAAAAAGTTTGAAAATAATGGTTGTCAAATATGGGGTTTATTGTGTGAATGTGTGGTTGGAAATGAGTATGTAGAAAAAGAAAATTGAAAATAATGGTTGTCATAATTCAAATCTTTATATGTTGATCTGAATTTTTATATTTATTTGATATGAGATTTACCCTTTAACGGTTATAGTAGCTATAAGAAGATAAGATAATGAAATTAGCATTGATTGAGGAAGAATAAACTAGTAGTACATTCTACAAGATTTTACACTAGAAGAACTCATAGGGGGAAAGAACTCTTAAACAAGCAAGAATTATGCGATCCATATGAATTTGATCTTTGTGCGAACGAAATTGAATTTTGTTACTATGGGAATTAGTATGGTAATTGGTAAGTCCAAAGTTAGAGAAAAATAAGAATAACCAATCACAATGAAATGAAATGTGATGATAATAGTGGAATATTTGAGAACATTAGTTCTTCCAATTATAATCGGGTTATAAGAACCATGTATAACTATTCGGTTGCTCCCCACTAACCCTTCTTACCTTCCTCTTCTAGTAGCCGCAAATACGAAAAAGTTACATGAAAATATGAAAAATGATCAATTTTTGAATAATGTACAGTTGAGAATTAGTATGAAAGAGAAATGATTCTCAAAGAATTAAAATAAAAAAAAGGGTGTAATGTTTTTTTTTTTTCCCTTAATCGATGTGCATCTAAATGGAAAGATTAAAATCTGAAAACTAAAAGAAATTGGTTGTGGACTCAAACAATCCAAAGATCAAATTTAGGGTACTGCCACTGAAAATTTCTCTAAACTTAGGGTAAATCCCTCTAAGGGTCCCCAACCTCCTTTTGTGGCTCTAGGTCAATCCATATCCTCAATGTTTTAAAATTGTGTCCGCGTTATCCCTCTATTAGAATGTTAAAAGAACGCGCACTAGGCATGTGATAAATTATGGTTGGTACGTCCAAAAATAACTTTCCTCCACTTCGAAAATCTTTTTGGCAGACATAATCTCAAGAAGAAAATTTTACATTTCTACACGACGTAGCAGAAGATAACTTATCTACTTAATAGTTAAAGTGAAGGAAAATGATTTCTGGACAATTATACCCATAATTCATTTATCATATGAATACGATGTGTCCTTTAGTCTTCTAAATAGATGGTTTAAAAGATTTGAGATAGCAATTACCCGAACGGAATGTTGGGGACTTGATGTGGTGCAAATGGAAATGATGGGGACCCCTATAGGAATTTTACCCATGAGCTTTTTTCCTTCTGAATCTTCAGTTTATTAAGAAAAAAAAGTGGGTCAAAAAGAGAGAAATTCCAAACGCGTCCTTACGCACAAAAATTCCCGGTCAAAGTCGTTAATTCAATGTTCTATACATATCCGACGGCCAAACTGCATTTCTCTCTTCTTCTCAACCAAACCAAACCAAACCAAACCGTTGTTTTTCTCTATACACAAAAACAGAGCTTCAAATTCTGTCTATTGCTATATTTATGCAGTGAAAATCGGAGTACCAGTCCCAAATTCATCGCCGATCCTGATTCTTCCTTTATCACCTTCGCCATTATCACATTTTTCCTCGGTTCTTGCTCTCTGGTAAGAATCCCTCGCCTCACGCACTCCCGCTACGGATTCCTCTCAACTCTGTAACATTTCCATTTAGGTTTTCTTGATTGGAATTAATAAAGTGCCTTTCACGAATCCTTTGGGGTTCGTGGCAGGTATTTTAGTTGATTTTTTCTTTTGCTGCCATTTGTTTATTGTTTGGTACGTTATTATAGGTGAAGACGATGATGCTGTGTACTAATATGATGTAAAGATTTGGTGGTTTGTTTTTAGGGTTTTGTTTATTTTTTAGGGTTTGTAATTTGAATAAAGGGAAATCTTAGGGATGTCTTCAGCTGGTATAATTGCAATTAGGCCGGCATGTGAGGATTCTATGATTTTTTCACAACCCCCTTTGGCTGCGGACTGTCAAGAGTCAATTTTGATATATGTGGCTATGTCGGGGTCTAAGGTTCCAATGCAGGTCCTGGAGTCGGACTCCATTGAGTCTGTAAAGCTCAGGATCCAGACCTGTAAAGGGTTTGTAGTCAAGAACCAAAAATTGGTATGCAAGGGGAGGGAACTGGCGAGAAGCAATTCGCTGGTTCGCGACTATGGGGTTATAGGTGGAAATGTTTTGCATTTGGTCCTGCGACTCTCTGATCTTCAGGTTATTAATGTGAGGACTTGTTGTGGGAAAGAGTTCACCTTTCATGTTGAGAGGAGTCAGGATGTTGGTTACATCAAGCATCAGATATCAAAGAATAGAAATTTGGAGTCTGTTGATGATCAGGAGGTTTTCTGTAATGGTGAGCCAGTTGAGGATCATAGGTTGATTAATGATATCTGTAAGGATAACAATGATGCTGTGATCCATTTATTTGTGCGGAAGTCAGCGAAAATTAGGGCTAGACCTGTGGAGAAGAACTTCGAGTTGTCTATCTCTGCCCCACAGAAGAATGACGTGAGGGAGTATGATGTGGATATGGAAAATAGGCATGGGCACCAAACAGAAACTGAACATAATCTCTATATGCCAAGGAAGTCTCCAGGTATAGATATATTATTGGAGCCTGTGATTGTTAACCCCAAAATTCAATTGGCTCGAGAGATTAGGGATTGGATTGACTCAACACGAGATGGATTATATAGCAGGAATTATCCAATTAGGTCTTTGGAGGGCACTGGGGGTACATATTTTATGCTGGATGCGTCTGGGAATAAGTATTTATCTATGTTTAAGCCAATTGATGAGGAACCTATGGCCGTGAATAACCCCAGAGGGCTTCCTCTGTCTGAGGACGGCGAAGGGTTGAAGAAGGGGACAAGAGTTGGAGAGGGTGCAATCAGGGAATATGCTGTCTACTTGTTGGATCATCCAAAGAGTGGTCGCCGCTCTTTTTCTGGTGAGCTTAGAGGCTTTGCAGGTGTTCCTCCTACAGTTCTTGTTTCGTGCCTGCACAAGGGATTTAATCATCCCAAAGGCGTGATTGCCAAGATTGGGTCCTTGCAAATGTTCATGGAGAACAATGGAAGTTGTGAGGACATGGGTCCTGGTGCCTTTCCAGTTGAGGAGGTGCACAAGATTGCCGTGTTGGATATGAGAGTTGCAAATGCAGATAGGCATGCTGGGAATATATTGGTGACCATAGGCCAAGATGGCCAAACTGTGCTAATCCCAATTGATCATGGCTACTGTTTGCCTGATAGTGTAAGACCACTTTCTTGCTTTTCATTCTTATTTTTTACTGTCAGTTTTACTCGGTTGTTGAAACTCCATGCACCCATAAATTTTCTGGTTGGTAGCTTTTTTGTATGTCTAATTATGTGATTTGTTAAGTGTGTTGTGAGTCCCTCACTACCACAATATACTATTTCTCAGAAATATTTTTTGTCTAGTTCATGATTTGAACCTTGTTCTTGAAGCTGGAGAAATTTTTTTACACTAATATTGCTGTTTGATATATATGATTGTTTATTAGGAACATGGTGAATGCATACTGAACAATGACATGGTCCAGAATCCTGCTGCATTCAACTGTTTGGGATATTTTTTTGCCCTTTTTTAGGTGACAAAATTTTTAGCGGACGCATGTAGACTGAAAAATAGGGAACAAAAAGAGGCACATTGTACAAAGACATAATCTAATAGCCATCAATATTCATATTTGTGGATACTCTGAATATTATTACAAGAGATAGTTTTGGTCATCTGCTATCTCTGATTGTGCATTACACACAAGTCACATTGACACAAGTGGACTAGTGCAAGGCTCGAAATGAAGTTTGTCTTCTTCAATCAACAAGAGAGTAACAGTTTCAGCATATAGATTTTTGAGTCCATAGTATCCCTTTTTTCTTCTTGGTGTCAACCAACTTCCCGATTCTTCTACCAAGCAGCTAACTAAATTCTCTCTCTAGTTGCTTCCCTATGAAGACCAATGAGCTATCTGGAGGATTGTCAGGAGCTATCTATAGTTTTCAGCTTGGTTGCAGCCATGCTCATTTCTGTGATTCACTTGGATCACGGCTATTGGAAATTTCCTCATTGTTAAGTGATTTGCGTGTGCTATAAATGAATTTTGGTAAATGAAAGCTTGTGCTTTCTTAAATGATGTCTCTACGTGTTATGCATCTTTCATTCATCAGCATTTATTTTCTCTTGTCCTTGCTGCAGTTCGAGGATTGCACATTTGACTGGCTCTACTGGCCACAGGCCTGCCAACCTTTCAGCACCAACACCCTCGAGTATATAAAGTCTTTGGATGCCGAGGAAGACATTGCCTTGCTCAAGTTCTATGGATGGGACTTGCCTCTTGAGTGTGCTCGGATACTTCGTGTTTCGACCATGCTTTTGAAGAAAGGTGCTGAGAAGGGTCTCACCCCATTTGCCATAGGCAACATTATGTGCAGAAAAACCGTGAAGAAGGAATCCATGATGGAGGAGATAGTTCAAGAAGCTTTGGATTCCGTGCTCCCCTGCTCGAGTGAAGCTGCACTCCTTGAATCCATCTCTTGCATAATGGATCGTCGTCTTGAGGATATCATTTAATGATATGAAGCGCTGAGAAATCCATGCACATATGAACATAATAGTAGTTGTGAATGTTATTCAATTTGGAGGATAATTCCCTTCTGATTCTTTACTTTTTACTATTGAAGCATTTAACTTGAAAATGACTTGGAGAGGTTTGAGTACAGGTTAAAATGCCTGGACTCACTTGTTGATAATGTCTCGAGTCTTTCTTGTTCAGAAGTATAACATCACTACTTACTTTTTATCTTTTAGAATTTTTAGTTTTCTCGTCGTCCGCAAGGAACCAGACGGGTAAATATTGAAGTTTGTAACTTGAAAATTGTTGAAAGTTATTCGAATGACACTCTGTTCTGATATTAATTTATTTTTGTTTTATTTTCCCTTAGTGCAATGTATTTGTGTATGCTTAAAACCTAGAGGACAAGTTTTCCAACCGTGACAGGACAAGATTCAAGTGAAATATAGAAGAGATGCATGTGATGAAATTACGGTTTTATACAATTCACAGTGTGATGTTACGATTTTGTTCTCATATTTATAGTTTGTTTAAATTATTAGTGTCGATGAGCAGAATTTTAATTTCATTTTTCAGTGATGGCTGCCAAACATGGTAATTGGCATTAAAGTTTAACGATTCCATGGTCATTATAGTCAATCATGATCAAGAGTGTCTTTACTTTCGCCAGAAGTCTCAACAGCCATTGGGAGGTCTTATTTTTTCTGAGATTACTGGCATCTTCAACGTAATTATCAAAATTCGATCCAAAAAATATCATTTTATTGAAATGAGAGTTGTGCACCTGTTGTTCTTGTCTAGTGAGTTCTTCCTTCAGGCGAACTTGTAAATCCGCGTGTGGTACGGAATGTTTTGATCCTTTTGTTTCGAGATGAACAGGTTTTCTTGATATTGCAGTGTGACAGTGAATCAGTGACATTGGGCTTAGTACGGCCCCTATCACGAATATGCTATCATATTACCGTAAGGTAAAGGTCGATCACACTCTGATCCTGTCGATTCCTTTAGTTACAATCAATGGAAATTTCTTTGAATGGTAAAACAGCCGGTGAAAGCTTTCTTCTCAACAATAAGGTACGTAGAATAGATTCAACCTCTTTAGCAGACAAGGACTTTTTTGCTGGCGAAACCAGAGTCATCAGTGATTCGTTGAGCTAGTCTGAATTTCCAATACCTCGAGACATTGGTTGAGACAGAAGAACACACTTTTTTATGTTGTTGCTTGCCCAGATTTGAGAATAAAATAAGAGTATTACATGAGTTTGAGAATGGCAAGTCGTTTGAACAGCAAGTGGAGCCAGTTTCAACACGCACTGTTTCTAACTTTGGAAAAGCCGATTTTACTTTTGATTTTGTTTCCAACGAATAGCACACTGATACATAATGCAGTTTGGAATAATTAACATTCCTTCAAAATAAAGAAAATAGTTGAACTGAATACAGCACAAACTTATAAATTCTCTACATATTGTACGAGAGGATGCCCGTTTGTGTGAATGGTTAGCAAGTGAAGAGAAACAAGCATATAGTGACACCAGCTTCCAAAGTAGACAGCGTTATTCTTACAATATCAGTAAAAGTGGTTGGGTAAGCTCGTAAATGAACTGAAAACTTGACCAGATACACGTACACTTTTTCCAGAATGTTGAAGATACACGATAGCAGTCTTAACTGCGGAGATTGGGTATGCATGCTCCACCATCTGGGTTTGTCTGTTCCTTCCATATTCGTCCTGTTACACGAAGCTTAAGCTCTTTCTTGTCTCCTCCCGAGAAAAACAGTGCCATGTTACTCTGTATAATCAGGCCATCATGGCTGTCTCGAACTTCTATGTGACTATCTCTGATGCTACGAGGGGTGCCTTCCCATATAAGTTTCCGACCATTTCCACCAACCTCCAAGCTGTAACTATAGTTTCGAGCCTCTATCTCGTCTCCCATGAATCGGAGGAAAGCCATGTAAACTGAAGCAGTGCCCAGTTGAAAAGCTTCGAAATGTAGGCAAAAATACTGGCCAAAACAATGGAAAACCTAAAAAAAGGAAGATGGAAAGACCTTCAGCACTCATAATTCATGAAGATGCAAAACTATGTTCAGAGTAAATTTGTTTTCGAGGTGTAGAACAATATCAAATGTAATACTGGCAGATAAAGAAAGGAAAATTAAAATAAAAAATAAACATTGACATGGTTTGAATGAAATTCATTATTCCAATTCATGTTGCAAAAGATCAAGTTTTTTGACATTTACACTAGCATCCTGTTCTATAACATTTAGTATCAGTGCTGATGCAAACGATGTCAAGATTCCGGAATATATCGACCAATGGGATTAGCAAATGACCCAAAAGGTGAAGGAACGTGAGACGGATCTCGACATTGTAAGTTGGCAATGGGTGCACGGCTATGCAAACGAACAGTCCTTTCTATTTTATTTATTCACATTTTTAATTCTTGCTATTTGGTGTGCTTTGATATTATTTGTAGAATTGGGGGTTCGTTTGCAATTTGATTATGGGGTTTTAATAAAACAAACAGTTCAGGTTCTCACTGTTAGTTGCCTTTTTGATATTTGAATAAAATATATTGAGAGATTCACAATTGAATCAACAAGTCTTAGACAATCCGCCTCATCGATTACTTTGTATGTTGCAGGAAATGTTCAAATATAAATGAAATTTCAATGCAAACCTAAAGCAAATTTTATGGTGACCATTGACTGCTATGAGCATTGTAAAGAGCATATTGAGTAATGTTCCTTCAAAGATCATCATATTTGTTAGAGAGCCTTACTTCAATAACAGAAACAAGATTATTCAAATAAGAGGAAGTGAAAAGAAAATACTCACAGTCAGCATCCACGTGGCATTCTCTACATCTCGCGGATTTGATTTAACATAGCGATGATTAAATGTGCTTCCAGTATGCATATCCACCTTATGATCATCTTTCAAGTGAGCAACCAGATATTGAATATCTCCTGCAACCAAGCACTCTGATCCAGCATACGGGCAGTTGTAAGGCCTAAAATTACAAACGGCCTCGTGTTTCAACTTACTGTAATAGGGGAAGATCTCAGGGCATCCTAGGGAACGATACTTGCAAGGAATTTCAAGTGATTCAGCCACCTTTTCTAGCACTAAACATCTTATATCACCAAGCTCTTGTCTACAAGTAGGACATCGGTTGTGAACCCTAGCTTTACAGGTGGAACAGAGTGTATGCCCATTGTGGCACTGCAGTTAAAAACATAACTTGATGTTAAAACAACTCCCTAATCAAATTTGATTTCACATGAAAAAATTGCACAACAACAATAATCACAACATTGAGTAGTTCTACTTAAGGATTATGCAGTTGGTCTCCTAATCCACAAGTGAAAGGAATGCACGGTTTTGTTACATGCAAAAACTTGGAGAGACATCCCACAGAGAGAAAACAGCCAGCCCAAGTCCAAAATGAATAACAAAGTGCGAAATTCTGCAAAAGCGAGACTATAGGAAAATCTCACCAACTCCAGCAAAAGACATGAGATGTTTGCAGTTCCTCATATTCAAAAAATATAAAAATATTTGGATTTATCATCTCCTTATCGCACCTACATCTGCGTCTGGTTCTTCTGTTTCAATTCACCAGGCAATTCAACCATCATATATATTCCCTAGTGATTGTTCAAATGTCATTTACATTAGCAGAATTGCAATACCTCAGGTCAGCGTCCCAAAGGGAACGAAACTGGGAGAGGAAAAACCTACCTTATGGTGTGTTTGAGCTAAACTCACGTGGACACCATCTACTCAGGTCGATTTCAGGGTCAAGAAAATACATCAGGCCTAATGCTGGTATGCTAAATCATAAATCTATCTTTCAAGCTTCAACAACAGTCCTTCATGCATAATCTGTCCCAGTCCTTATGAATATTCTTCAATAATAGTTTGTTTTAATATTCCAACTGAGAAACATAAATAAGCATACATACTGATGACCTGCAAAACCCCAAAATATTCAGAACCAAACTAATTGTGTTCATCTTATCCGACACAAAAATCGTAGAAGATAAACATTCATATAGATCTCAGTTTTGAATGATCAATTCATTCAGCAGGATCACACTGGAAAATCCAATTTCCCAAATTTAGGCAATTTAACTATTCCAAAATAATTTTTCCATACCGATTAATTCCCCACTTTCAAAAACCAAAAAATCAACTCAGCACTTCTAACCATCGAAATCCCCACAGCATTCCAATTGCTTCAATCAGTTTCCCAAAGATAAATTTCTACTAGAAAATACGCATTTGGCCCAAATTCACAACGAAAGCTCTAATCAACATCCACCACAAAATAAAAAAGTATTAATTGCAAGACAGACCATAAAAGCCCTATTAACACATCAAAAAGCTAAAAAAAAAAAAGCAAATTAATTTCCACAACAATTGGCCAAAAAAATCCCAAAAAAAAAAAAAAAAATTGAAAAAAAAAAAACACTTTTAAGGAAAATGTAAAATACCAAAGCAATTGCCAAATTCCCCCCCAAAAAAATATAGAATCATAAATACAATTAACATACACAAAAAATAAAAAAATCAAATCAAATTTGAAAAAGAAATACCTGATGGATCGGAGGGTACATAGAATTGGTACAAACTGGGCATTCAAGAAGCTCATGGACACTGGTAGCGGGATTAATGACCATACCGTTGAGATTATTAGATTGCTTCGAAGAAGAAAACCTAGAATAAGGATGGGGGTGGGCGTTTTCATCTTCATTCATCCCTTCAGAGGATGATATGCATTCAATGCTAGATTCCATTACTGCAAATCAAAAAAAAAAAAAAATCTTTCTTTGAATTGCCAGATCAATTACTATACATTATCGGTAGTAGAACATGGGTTTTTCTTGACGAGTTTTCTCTGTGATGGGTTTCAATTTGTTGCAAGTGAAAAATATGTGAATTTTTCAATTTTCTAATTTGGCCACGCACAGAGAAAGGGTGGGAGCGGGGGTAGGGGGGTGTACTATTCCCCTTGAAGGTGCTTTTCTTGATGGGGTTTCTACTTTCCTTTTGCACGAACTTTTTTTCCTTTTTACTCCAATTAAAAATTAAAGACATGTGATGATCACTCAAATCATAATGAAATTTGTTAGAGATTTTTCGGATTGACAATTAACTATGACAGAATGGTAAATTGGCATTTAGTCGATGTTCGACCCCCTTTTTTTTTCTTGTTATTGAAAATGAGTTTTGTGATAGTAAATTTTTGAAAAATGTGTTGTTAAAATATTGAAAAAAAATATTGAATTTACGTCCAAAATATGTTATTGTGAAAATGTGTAATTGAAAATGAGTTTACAAAAATGAGTTCTTAGTTAATAGGGATCAAACACGGCCTTAGTGTGAGAGTAATTTTTTATCTTTTTTTTTTTTATCTTCTGAGAATATGTGCTTGAAAATTAATTTCGGGGAAAAAACGACTTTCAAATGTCAATTTTTTGCATAGTCATGAAAAATTTAGTCTTTGTTTGGTGTAGCTCAAAAATTAATAAAAATCTAAATCAAAATCAACAATTAATTTAGATCCATAGATAGTTACAATTACCATATGAAGACTCGCTATCGCTACAACTTCAATGAGCTCCATTAACCCTGTCACTACTTATGAGATGTTGACCCATTCTTGAATGGACACACGGTTAGAGACCTGACTACTTCCATTGCTTGGGATGTTACGGTTTCATGTTCTATTTTTCTGTCCTATGATGATTCTTTTACCCCTTCCTTCACAGTATGGGTTGCCTATGAGTATTTAGAATTGTAACGTGGTCCTTGCTAATTATATTTCATTGCATTTGTAACTTTTATTAACTTTCATCAAAATTAATTAAAAATATAATTTTTAACAAAATCAAATAAAAACTTATCATGACTATTTTATTCATCATCGGATACCTAAATTTACATGTTTTAAGCATCAACACGTGGTTGAATCATCATAAACATAATATATATTTACATAGATTTATTTGTGGTTGTTGAATGCACTTAAAACATGATGGTCCCTCAATTAGTTAAAGATCATTAAATTAACAAAAAAAATTCAAAGTGACCGGTAAATAAAAGAGGATGTTGAGCTGTCATCTATTGTTATATAACAATTTACTTCAAACGTCAATTTATGCAAAGTCTAGTGATCACTTAAATTTCTAGTGTCACATTGTTATATAAAAAATTAAATAGTCATCGAAATAATTTTTTTTAGGACCATGCTATGTGTACACACGGCCTTATACCTCTCTCACATGGAGGGGGGCCTATGCATAATAAAATATTTGTGAGTCCCCTCCATGTGAGGGGGGTGTAAGGTCGTGTGTACACCACGAGGTCTACACATAGCATTTATTTCTAATGTTACATTATTAGTTACTTGGTGGAAAGGATTAACTGCAAATCCTATGCAGCACTCCTGAAGGTCAATGTGGAGAAGACAGGAGTAACTAGTATGTGAGATAGGTATAATCATTAATTTTATAGCAATTAATCAAAAATATATTTTAAAATTTAAAGACGCATATGTGTCATACGTTTTCGAGAGTGAATGTTAGTAATCTCATGAACGTTGTTGACTTTGGAATATGGTGGAACACGTGGCTAAAATATCTCGAGTCCATTCTTGTCCATGTGCTAAGTTTTTGTACACTTGGACAAAGTTATGTATGTGACCTCTTCTTCGACGGTGAGGGAGGCGATCGTGAGCATTCATACGCAATCAACGATTGGAAAATAATATGGTTATGAATCTGGGTTGAAGAGAAAGTATCAAATAATTCGTATTGTTGAAGTGTATAAATCTCATTATCTTTGGATGACATTAGATGTGAGCTTTTATAGTGGAAAACAATAGGTGATTACCGTTGAATGTATGACACATGATCTCATCCTAACGGCTCATTGATCAGAACTCGTAGGAATCATATCCAACCGCCTTGTGTTGGAGGCGACCTTAAATGAACTGAAAAGTGGTCACTTATGTCTTAGGCCTATCTCTTGAAAAGTTGATTGAATGGCGCTTACTGTAGAGCTATAAAATCAATCAGACATACGAAAGATCCTCGTATGAAAGATCTTTAGGCTGCAGTGATATTATGGAATATGCCTTCGTGAAACAAAGTCTTATCAATTTGGAATTCTACTGTTGCAACTTTTGGTACCTCGCTTCGAATATGGAGGATGGGCCTCTATTATTTGCTTTGCCTGAGGTACTTAATTCACTTCTACCATGATAGCCTTTGATATGCCAGGTAGACGAAGTGAAATGGAATGCCAACCTTGAGTGACCTTTTGCTATTTATTGACAAGCTACCACGCGGCCCGCTGAAAATGCACTTATTCATACTTTTATTCTTATTCAATTATATGTAAATTGAGCGATCATCTACTTAATTTGTGTAAATTACGTTAATTATAGAAAAAATCTCAACTTAGATACAATTAGCATGTGTTTAGGAGCCATTCTTTCTGAAAATGTATCAAAATTTAGACCGTTGGCAGAGTATTTGGCTGATATTTGGGGACAAGAATCACTGTACAAACAGTGAGAAATCAGAATTAAATGTCAATTGTACCCTTCACCCATATATAATGCATTCACTTTTGCAATCTTTGCAAGGGCAGAACTGGAAAGCAGAAACAATTGGCAATGAAATCATTGCGAAATTACTGTAGCTCTGAAATAGTCGATTTGACACAAAAAATGCACTATTGATGGAAAAATGGTTACCAAACGGAGGCTTAGTGTCAAAAGGGCTATTTGAAGCTTAACTAAGGTTGATTTGAAACAATTGAAGATTATCCGGATTACAATTGATCAAGTTAAAGTATTAATGGAACATTCGATAAAATTTAAGAAGTTTATGGAGTTAAAGTTGATATTTGAAAAGTTTGGGGATTAAATTGTAAACTTTTGAAATTTGCATCAGGTTAATTATTAATAATTTTTTTTTTTGGCAAAAATGACTTGATTTTAAATATTAAAAGATGAAAGACTAAAATTTTATAGAAAATAAATCAAATCGAAAAGGAAATTGTTTCATTTTTCTTTTCAAACTCATTGTGGAAAACCAGTTGGAATAAGAATTTTGATTTAAATCATGTTCTATAAATACATACATTAGTCCGTGGAATATTTTTAAAAGAACAAGGGGTCTATCGTGACAAAAAGTCATATCAATTATAAGAAAAGAGAGCCCAAAGGAGAGATAAATCAAGAGTCCGAGTTTCAAGAATTTTATAAGAAGAAGGCGGATTTTTGGTACAAGATCTTTACCTTTTTCCAAATTTTCCTTAAAATATGGTGATATACTTTAATTAATTCCCGTAGTTTTCTTATCCCATGATGTGTAACTAAATATTTTGTTAGGATGAACAATTGTAACTTAATTTTGAACCTTAATTTTAATTATAAAGTTTTAATCTTCAATTGATGTTGTGAATTGTTTTAGCTTTCATTATTAATGTTTTTATTACTGGATCATTGATTTGTGAACGTAAAATTATGTCGAGAAGCGAGTTATTTATTTATGCTACTTAGTAAAAACCTGCAATTTGGATAAAAGGCATCTTCTCTCCCATCATCATTTGTGTCCTCGCATTCATACTGGAGTTATATGAGTCGTCCAACATATTCGACCTGACAAAATGAAAAATGTGTAGTATGAGTTGCATAACATACTAGCAATGAAATTAAAAGAGATCAATAAAAAATGTGCTTCTAAGCTACATGTCATGCAACTTCGGACATATTCTTTTGTCGTGACCATTAACACCAAATGCAAGATATTGACTTTATCGCTTTCCATATCCTTTTGCTCTAACGACATTTGGATCACATACAACTTGGGTCTCCTTTCAACTTTTGCTCCTAGTCTTGCTCATGCCAATATTGCCTCCGTCGTTAATCTCTTTCAGCTTGATATGCAATTGTTCAAACTCATCAAATAGAAAGGTGATGCTAGCATCTGTTAAAGATACATCTTCAACTAACAACGAAGCCTTATGAGCCAACATCCCATTTCATGCCATCGATGACTGACTACAACCATCATTGACAAAAAAAACCAACAATTGGTTCATATACTGATCTTATGTTGGCATTCTTTGTCCACCTTCGTAGAATATATTTGTCCGATAAGAGCAACACTTGCTTTTTCTTCAAATAGCAAAGCATATGTGAGCACAGATAACCATCAAATTCAAACATTCTACAAGTGCATGAGATAAAATAGTAGTTGTGTAATAAGTAAACGCATGTTGTCAATCAAAAGTTTTCTATGGCCTAAACCGCTCTACGCCGTATACTTTAGCATCGATGGAGCTTGGCCTCTTCGAACAAATGTAAAACTTACCTTGTCAACTTCCTTCTTGAACAACGACAAAATCTTTTCGTGTATATTTGAACCATCTGATGTTCTATATAACAACTAACATCAATCTTAGTTGTTCAATGAAATTAACATGGTTAGTGATAAGTGTAGTTTATACACTTATTTGTGGCCCTAAATTATGATATATTATTATCTTTTGGATTAAATTCTACTTAGTTTATGTTATATTGCATTTTGTAGATAAAACTCAATCTGTGATGAAGAATTGAAGAAAAGGAGCAAAAAGTGACAAAAATGGCAAAATCCAAAGTAGGAGAACTAAGTTGGATTAACTCGAAAGATTGGAGGACTTGAAGAAAATTATACATTAAATGATCTCAATTGGACTTGCTTTGGAATTCAAATTCAATATTTGCTTGGGCTTCTAACTG